CAACACGGCTTGAAAATCAGCATCGATTCTACAAACTTTCTGAAATATAGCTATACTAACAAGAGGGAAATTACCGTCTAAACAATCCTCCCACTACCAGCTGCTTACATTCCGGAGACGGGAAGACACGGCTGTGAAAATGCCTCTGGATCGGATTAATTCAGATTCTCACTGCTGTACAAACTGCCACAAACTTCTACAAAAGATTGCAGTTCTTGAAACGAAGTTGCTTGCGATCCGACCAGAACTTCAGCTTCATTGTGGATCCTCTCAGCACACATTCGGTGAGTCCCATAAATCTGTTCCTGCTACTGTTTTGAGCACAGAAAAACAGAAAAGAACTTTTGAAAATGAGCATTGGCATAAACAAGGTGCGAGACCAAAGGGTACTCGTGGGGTCAGATCATACGCTGCCGCATTAGCGTCTTCTACCCCAAATACAGCTCGGACTCAAATACAGCTTCAGAACAGATATGAAGTTTTGAGTAATATGGGTGAAGAATGCCCAAATGCAGTCAGACAGAGATCGCATGATTCAGCAACTAATTCTGCATGGAACAGGGGCTCAAGGCCGACTAGACAGCGGCATTCTGCTCCGATCACACCTGAGATAAGAACACTAGTCATAGGAGATTCAATAATCAAGAATTTCAGGAGCAGATCTACAATGACATACTGCTTTCCTCATGCAACAGTTTCTGATGTAAACAAAGAACTTGAGGAAATTCTGAAAAAGCACAAGACTGCAAAACGGATTATCATCCATGTGGGGAAGAATGATATTCGGAAAGAACAGTCAGAACTGCTCAAGAAAGATTTCTGTGAGTTCTTGGAAACAGCTGAAAGATTGAAGGTTCAGCCGTTCATAAGTGGACCACTCCCTGCAAGAGGGACAAATATGTTTTCACGGCTTCTTGGTCTAAATGTATGGCTACAGAAAACATGTAACAAGAAAGGACTGAATTTCATCGACAACTTCAATCTCTTCTGGAACCAAAGACAGCTGTTTACATCAGACGGCCTTCATCCAAACAAGCTTGGTGCAAAGGTGCTAAAGGACAATATTTTTTTCTCCCTCAATCATCCATCAGCTGTGTATGCCACTGAACTGAATTGTACACACACACCTAGCAAATGTCCGGATGACCACAGGACCTCAAATCAGCTCCTGAGTGGACTTGTGGCTGACGAATCACCCAAGGACAGTGATAATGCCATGCAGCCAAAACACCCAATGTTGATAGAGACACTATCAGTTGCCCTCTGCTCAACACAGGCAGACTGTGACGCATCAGAACAGCATCAAGTCTCGTCACTCAAAAATGATCCTCAGGAAAACATATTTTTGCAGACAGAATCTCCAGATGCACAGCCTCTGTCACCGGACACGTTCTCATTGTCACAATGTTCACCACTCTTGGGTTTTTCAAAAAAGATGGAGGAACTGGTGTATGCTGGAACTAAACTTTCACACTCCATTGCCGCAAGCCCCCAGTTACCAACCAAAAACCGGCCTTCTCCACAATCACCTATGAGCCCACCTGGAAGAGCCCTCCGATCACACCGCCAGGGCCCAAACAACAACGCCCCATCTCCAGCTGGTGAACACAAGAGCTCTCTGTGATGTGTGTTGGGGGCCTGCTTAGATAACAGTGTCTTTATCTAATGTTTTCAGAACAAGCAGGAACCCAGTGTGTCTGTAGCTTTCCCTAAGCAGATATGTGTTGTGTTAAGTGACAGAAAACCAAAGACTTCATCAGGCCGTGAAGCAAATCATTCAAATCTGGTGTCTATTAAATGTAGATCTGAGACTACTATAGAAAAAACAGCTAAAACTGTTAAGTTAGCACTTCTAAACATCAGATCACTCAATAATAAGTCACTTTTAGTCAATGATTTTATCAACACAAATTGCCTTGATTTTATGCTTTTAAATGAAACTTGGCTAGATGACAGTTGTAGCGCAGCAGTTCTGAATGAAGCAGCTCCTTTAAACTTTGACTTTTTGAGTGTTTGCAGAGTTAATAGGAGAGGTGGAGGCATCGCTGCCCTGTTTAAAGATGTGTATGAATGTAAACAAGTGTCATTTGGTGACTATTTGTCTTTTGAATATCTGAGTATAGCACTAAAAGGGTCTCCACGCATCTTACTGATCATTATCTACAGACCTCCAAAATATTCTCCAGCTTTTATTGAGGATTTTACAGAGCTGTTATCAATTGTAACCTCTGAATTTGATTATTTTAGTGTTGCTGGGGATTTTAATATTCACATTGATAATCCAGAAATCAATGCTGTAAAAGAACTGATGACTGTTTTTAACACTTTTGATCTGACTCAGCATGTTCAAGGACCCACACACAATCGTGGACACACTCTTGATCTACTTATAACTAAGGGTTTACACATTTCATCGACTGTTGTTAAGGATGTGGCACTATCTGATCATTTCTGTATCTTTTTTGATATATTGATCACTCCAGCTATTAAACGATATTATGCAACGATAGAGAGACTCACAAACCCCCCCAGTCGGATTCCCAGTGAGCTCCTCTCTGGAAGCAAATGTAATGAGTTTGCTCATTTCTTCACTGATAAGATCAATAATATCAGAAAGGCAATCAGCTCATCTAATCAGTCAAGTTGTGTCGATATCAAACAAGCTCAACCACAACTTAAGAAATCAGACATTATGTCTGATTTCATGGCAATTAACGGCAAAATCTTAGAAGAAATTGTGTAAGTTATGAAAACATCAACCTGCAGTCTTGACACGCTCCCCACATCATTCTTCAAAACGGTGTTTACCTGTTTAGAAATGGATCTTCTAAAAGTGGTAAATGCTTCACTTCTATCAGGGATTTTTCCAACCTCACTTAAAACTGCAGTTGTTAAACCCCTCTTGAAGAAGAGCAACCTGGATAACACCCTATTGAGCAATTACAGGCCAATCTCAAATCTCCCTTTCATTGGCAAAATCATTGAAAAAGTTGTTTTTAAGCAGGTTAACAAGTTCTTAAACTTCAGGGGGTGTTTAGACAATTTCCAGTCTGGTTTCAGAGCACATCACAGTACAGAGAGCGCTCTTATAAAGATAATCAATGATATACGCCTAAATACAGATCCAGGTAAAATAACAGTGCTGGTATTGTTGGATCTCAGTGCTGCATTTGACACTGTCGATCACAGCATACTTCTGGATAGGCTGGAAAACTGGGTTGGGCTATCTGGCACGGTCCTCAAATGGTTAAGATCTTACCTTGAAGGTAGAGGTTACCATGTCAGTATAGGTGACCATAGGTCGAGGTGGACTGGACACCCATGACGTGTGGAGTCCCACAAGGCTCGATTCTGGCACCTCTCCTGTTCAACCTTTACATGCTCCCTCTAAGCCAAATAATGAGAAAGAATCAAATCTCCTACCACAGCTATGCTGATGACACTCAGATCTACCTAGCCTTACTGCCTAATGACTACAGCCCCATTGACACCCTCTGCCAATGCATTGATGAAATGAGCAATTGGATGTGCCAAAACTTTCTTCAGTTAAACAAAGAGAAAACTGAAATGATTGTGTTTGGAAACAAAGATGAGGTTCTCAAGGTGAATGCGTACCTTGGCACTAAAGGTCAAACGACAAAAAATAAGGTCAAGAATCTTGGTGTGACTCTGGAGTCAGATCTGAGTTTCAACAGTCATGTCAAAGCAGTCAGTAAATCAGCATACTATCATTTCAAAAACATAGCAAGAATCAGATGCTTTGTTTCTAGTGAAGATTTAGAAAAACTTGTTCATGCTTTTATCAGCAGCAGGGTGGATTACTGTAATGGACTCCTCACTGGTCTTTCTAAAAAGACAGTCAGACAGTTGCAGCTCATCCAGAACGCTGCAGCCAGAATTCTGACCAGAAGCAGGAAATCAGAGCACATCACACCTGTCCTCAGGTCTTTACACTGGCTGCCAGTTACATTCAGAATAGATTTTAAAGTATTATTACTGGTCTATAAATCACTAAATGGCCTAGGACCTAAATACATCACAGATATGCTCACTGAATACAAACCCAACAGATCACTCAGATCATTAGGATCATTTAAACTAGAAGTTCCAAGAGTTCAGTCAAAGCAGGGTGAATCGGCTTTTAGCCACTATGCCCCTCGCTGCTGGAATCAGCTTCCAGAAATGATCAGATGTGCTCCAACATTAGGCACATTCAAATCAAGACTGAAAACACATCTGTTTAGCTGTGCCTTTACTGAATGAGCACTGTGCTGCGTCTGACAGATTGCACTATCATGTTTTTCGCTTCTTCATTCTTTTATATCACATTTTACCTGTTTTTATGTTTTGTTTTGTTTTGTTTTTACACATTTTTATTATTTGTTTTTATTTTTATTTAACTTGTTTCTTTTATTCATGTTGATGTAAAGCACTTTGAATTGCCATTGTGTATGAAATGTGCTATATAAATAAACTTGCCTTGCCTTGCCTAACTGTTTTTATACGCTGCATCATTTTGAAGTGAAGTTTACTCATGTGTGATGGTGGAAGGATTATCACATTCATTGTTGAGCATAGTGAAGTATGTTGAAAATAAAGAAAGACACAAATAATGTTTGCTATGAAATGTAATTTAACATGTCCATGCTTGAATTATGAAATGCTATTTGTATTTGTTAGTAGTTTTCATGGTGCTGTGGGATGTTGTGAATCGCTTCTAGGTGTATTGGATGAAGACGCTGTGTAAATATAAGCTAGATTACATTTCTGTGATGAATAAAAACACATTATTTGAGGCTCTCAGACTTCTTTCTTAAGTTGTACAGTGTGTCTGTTTTATGAAATAATCTCATGCTGTTCCTTATTTAAAAAACAAAAATCTAAAAGTGAACTGTTACATCATTCTTAAATGAAGAGATGAGGCTGATATAAAAAAAAACAGCACAAGAAACATTTTGAGTCACAAATAATGATTTTAAATTCAAACCCAAGAGATGTGATTATAGAGCCTCACCTGATACAGTCAGTGTAACAGCATCACTGATGTCTGATGTCTGTGAGTCTGATCTCTCTCCTCTACAGCTGTATTGACCACCAAAATATACAGAATCAGCTCTGAAACTCCAGTCTACTGTTGATGGTTTTGTTTGTGGATAGTATTGATAGCGAGTGTCTCCATCTTTAATCCAGCTGTATTTGGTCCATTGAATGTTTCCTCCTGTCTGTATGTCACATGTGAGAGTGACTGTCTCTCCAATGAACACTCGCTGATCTGGACTCACGTTCACTACAGGCTTTGGTCTCTCTGCATTAATACACACACATGAGGAAATAATGATTAATGACATCTTGACATTGCTTTCTTTGATTTAAACATATTTTGCCACATTTTTTGGTTTAATTTGTCAAAAAACAAAGAATAAATAACAAAATGTTTTATACTGTGCTTATTGTAACACTTCAGCACTTTTAACTAAATGTTTATCAGCTAGTATTAGGACTGTGATTATACAGGAAATAAAATAAGTATTGAGCACATCATTATGTTTTATTTAATTTCAGTAAAACAATTGCCTTGATTAAATGTCCACCCTGTTTCATCTTCAACATCTGATAAAATCCCTTAATACAATCATCTTTATCCTGAATAGCCACAGGATCACAGACAGAGAGTAAATATCAAATATACAAACCACAGCCTCCACAAAACACATTCAGTAGACTTCTCTTGTGAAACATCTTTTTTTTTCAGACTCGTGTTCAGTTTAAAGTGTAATGACATGAGAAATCAATAGTGACATAATGGCTGTTTGTTCCAATTCAATATTCTGCAAGTTTCACCACCATCTAAGCAGAAACTCCACTCAGTCACTCACTGACAGACTCTTGTCTACTCTGAATGCATGAACAATCTCACATCATGTTAACAGCAAACAGGAGTGACTATAATCCCAGATTATAATGAGTGTACAATCTACACTTAATACACTGTACAGATAATTGTTCTGTAGTTTTCTAGTCTGCTTACCTAAAAATTATAACTGATCCTGTTGGAATACTCAATCAATTCCATGCGTGTTCAAGAAAAAAGGTCAGTTGAGGTTTTTCTTCGATGTCAAAAATCTTAACAATTTATTGGATACAAATGAATAATTTGATTGACAGAATTCTGTTATCCTCAATGCAATGCAAAAGTTACATTAAGGAGGTGCGCAACAACTTTCCTTTCCTGACTCCAACTTATATAGGCAGCTGATATTAACAGGTGGAGTTTAGTGAAAGTCGTCATTTGTCAATGATTGTTCAGTCCTCCATTGGCCGCACCCCAGACATAAGTCCTCTTTTCCTACTAATTATCTGCACAACAATAAAAGCATACCATTTTTGTGCTCTGTGTTCAGTTTTAACATCTTTCTTCAGACAGGAAGTTTCTGCAGAGCTCAATTTAATTTTGGACCAGCAATTATCTACTTCTGCAAAAATGCTAATTAGTATGCACAGCACTCACACACAACAGTAGAAGTTCAGTTAATATATGACCCTTACATGACCTATACAAATAATTGTTTGATTAAAAGAAAAAGAGACAAAAATAATAAAAATTCTAACAATCACCGATGAACATATTAAAATAATTGTAAAGAAAATAAGGCATAACTAGACCCACACAGAATCTGCGCTCACAGAAATCCACAGAATTTTGCAGATTTTTAGCCCATCATCGAGTCTATTAATTTACTTGTAAATTTTGATTTATTCAGTTTTTAAGTTAATTTCAGTAAAAAATATTAACTAAAATAAAACTGTTCATTTGTTTTATTTATAATACAGTTTGTAAAGTAATATTTACTGTCTTTTAGTAGATATGATAGACTTGGGTTTCCAATTAAAATGCTGTTTAAAACCATGTGTACACTGCCCTAAATGAGGACCTGAGAAGTGATTAATAATGATGTTAATGTCCAGCGTTAATAATGATGTTAAGTCATTATTAAAAAGATGTGAATTTGAAGACTCACCTGATACAGTCAGTGTAACAGCAGCACTGATGACTGATGTCTGTGAGCTGATGTCTGATAACTCACAGCTGTATTGACCAGCATCAGCATCAGACACAGATGTGATTTCGTAGACTCTCTCACCAATGCCTGGAGCTGGTGAACTGTTTTTAATCCAGCTGTATTTGATCCACTGAGTATTTTCTCCTGTCTGTGTGTCACATGTGAGAGTGACTGTCTCTCCAATGAACACAGGCTGATCTGGATTCACCTTCACTACAGGCTTTGCTGATAAACATAAAAAGAAATAACAAAAATACAGCATAGTATCAATATCACAATTACAAACTTTTTTTATAAGAAAAAGGTTTACATTTTTCTTTAAATTTTCAGTCAAAATAAATTTTTGTATTAGTATTAAGTATTACGTATTGGACAATGCATTGCAAACACTAGTAAATTAAATGAATTTAGATTGATGAGAAGACCTTGTCATAGGTTAAAAGTCATAGGTTAAAGTTTGTGTGTCCAGTATTTTATAGCTGTTGATGAGAATCTGCTTCAACTGTAGATATCCTCTATTTATTTAACAAACTTTTTTAAAAGAACTAATGATTTATGGATAACGCTACTCATAACTAGTAAATTACTTAATTCTTAATGGCACAATGTAATTAGTTAAAGTAATGACTGTAGGAATAAGTTTATTTTTGAAAATATATAAAATAAGACAATTTGATTCTCATTAGTGACTTTTTTTTTAATACAACAATTTTATTAATACAACCAGAAAATTAACTCTTTTGATTAGACATCCCTTTGTTCATATTTTTTTTGTCGTGTCACTGGAAATAAAAATCATGTTTCCTCAAGAATGATCAGAGTATCTGACTGCGAGTTGTTTTGTAAATGAGGAACAGCTTAATGGAGAGACAGTAATGGAGAGTCCACCATAGAGAACAAACAAAATAATTCCTGATAATTAAAAAGAAATAATAATAAATAACATGAGACAAGTAAAATGTATTTCAATCCAGTGATTTAGCTGATTGAATTTAAAAAACTATACTGAAATGTTTGCAATGTATGTGTAAAAGCAATTTTTATTGCATTGTAATATTTTGTTTATTTTTTATTTTATTTTATTTTTTGACCAGCAGGTGTTCGTGATGTCTACTCTGTCAACTTGTCAGGAGCAAGATTTTTGACGCCCTGGATGACTTCATTATCAGTTGAAAGTACACAAGTGGATAATTTATTTATAGCTAAATTATTTCCAATTATGTGCATTGCTTCCTATTCCCTTCCCTATTACTGAAATCTTTATTTCAGAACCTTGATTCACTGATTTGCACAACAGAAACTGCATCAAAACACTTACTGACAGATTCTGATCTACTCTGAATGAAAGAATCATCTCATATTGTGTGCTTAAGCCAGCTTTACTGACAAGATGGACAAGATAATGAACTTTTGTGAATTATACAGCCCTAATTAAAATTAAATTGATCCTCAATGAGCATAATAAAATAACTGTATTAAGAAAAAAAGGTATGACTATAACACATTGCGACTGTCAGAATCCAATCAACAGCTGTTTTGGATAAATCTGAGCACCACCTTAAATAATTTTTCATGTTTGATAACCATTTTACTCTGATGCAAATCTCTAAATTAGAAGATCTTTAGCCAATTCTGTTTTATTGAATTTAACATATTTACTACAGTAATAAAATACAGCTCTCGCTCTCATTAAAACTGAACAATGCTAATGTGTCTGCATTCAGATGATTCAAAAAATGCTGATAACACCATATCTGTTGCTTTTGTTAACATTGAAGAAAAAAAAAGCTTGCTTTAGTTTAAGTTTGTGTAGTCAGTATTTTATTGCTGTTGATCAGAATCTGCTTTAAACGGTAGGTTTGACCATTTCCTGATTTTAGGTGAATTAATAATAATTTGAGAACTTTTATCTACATCTAGATATATAACAAAACTTTTAATCAAAACCTTTACTTAAACAATCATGATGAATGAATAAATACAAGTTTGGGTAAAGGAACTTAAAGGCAGGAGCATCAATAAATAAAATGATAAATGCTGCTTTACATTTAACTTTAATATATTTTCTTACAGGGTTCAACACTATTGATTTGTTCTGCTGGCCCTGCCAAAATTTTCACTGGCCCCACCAAAAAAATAAGTTAATACCTATTTCTTAGCCACTTATTTTAAATAATGTGTCAAATTCCAAAAACAACTGTATACATACACTTCTCTTTGAGCATAACTTTTCTTTAAATACAACTGAGAATAGAAAAAAAAAATACAGTTGTGATGTAATTTTTTATATGCATACACACAAACACACATATATATATACATACACACATACATACATACATACATACATATATATATATAAACATACAGGGCTCAAAATTTAACCTTTCTATTTGGTAGCGGCGGTGCTAAAATCTATCGCACCCACCAAAAATTATGAGCACCATTACTCCAAATTTTAAATTAACATATTTAACAGATACTAACAAACAAGCAAACAAAAAATCTGCCTGCGCTCACTGGCCCTGCACACACTACTTGATTAATAAGTCATTAATAAAATGACTTAACAATAAGAACTGGGCTGTTTCACTGGTACTGTCTGATATTTTGCACAGATGATATTGATATATAACTTATTATTTGCATATGTCATCTTGATGGCAGTAATGTTCTTTTCATGAGCTGCAATATTAGTTTAATCTTAGTTAAAGCAAGCCCTTTTGCGATGGTGTACACGCTGCAGTTGCACAACTGATATATTTGTGACAATTAAATGAGGGATTAAATAACGTTAGAACATCACATGATTAAATGTGGCTGTCGGAGCCCAATTAAACTTTAGTGACAAGGCAGCACTGGCCCGATTGGCCCAGTACCAATGCTGTCTACTGTCCAGAGCGTCTCTCAGGCTGGCCCAGGGCCATCAGGCATTCCTTATTTTTGAGCCCTGTTATATTATGTGTTTTGAGCCATTCACTTTGTTAATGGTGATTGTAAGAAACATACAATCAAAACATTCACAATCTATAATTCTTTTCAGTTTTTTACTTCTGAGAATAATGCGAGACTGAAAACTTTATAACTACATAATGGTTTGTTTAATTACTTAAAGAACTGCAGAAACAACACTGAAAACACGGACAGCTAGATGACAGCAAAATATGGACATAAATCAAAGTAAAGAAAGTGTGAATTATACCAGGGTATATACGGAACTGATTAAGTTGAATTTAATACCTTTTACTACCTTTTTTTAATACCTTGAAAAATAATGGAATAACATGTTGCAGATAACATACATTTAAGTAAAGCAGAGGGATTAATCCAGGTGTCAAAATTGACCTGTCCATAGTTTTTAATCAAGGTCTTATATGTCATCAATGTCAATAGTCACTCTTCTAAGAACTTATAAATAATATTTCTGCTACAAAACAAATGAAAGATTATAATAATTCATTCAATTCAAGGCTGAAAGCTGCAAAGCAGTCATCAGTGATTAAATAGAAAAATAATAAACACCAAGAAAGAATGGAAACAAAAAGAAAGAAAAGCCTCACTTCTGCCACTCTTTAAAGGTTTTGGTTCGTGTCATTTTAAATGCTGTCTCGTTATGAGCTGATCTTCATTTTTCTGTGTTTGTGGAAAAAAAGCAGTGCCATTATTTGTAACTTTAGGTAGGGTTTGAAAACCTGCGTACTTCTCATTCTTCACCCGTTTACATTTTCCGCGTTCACAAAAGCTCCCTGTCATCTGAGTGATTGACAGCTGATATGAACCAATATTGTGGCAATATTATAGTCTTCTGGCAGACGTGGCTATAAGCCTCGCGGTGTTGCCAACTGCAGGCCTAGGCCATCTTGAGTCCTCCAGCCAGAGGTCCGAAAACTTGCATTTCCCCATGTTTTAATTTATTTCATGAATCAAAGTGAGCTCGCCTATATGGTTGGCAGCAAGCCAGTCGGGTACCCAGTTTGTTTCAGCGTGCGCGCGGAATCCACCTCACATGACAGAGCTCAGATACTACTCTCGACATATAAATAAATCCACGCAAAATTTAGGATAAAGGCCTGCACTTAACACAAATTGAAAATTTACCTAAAAAACTGGGCTTGAAGATGTAATACCTCGTCAGATGACATTTTTTACTTTTTAATACTTTTTAATGCCCTTAATTTTGGCTAATATCATTTACTACCTTTTACCAACCCGTGTACACCCTGTAAACTGTGATCCATATATGATTATGCTGCACTACTGTACATGCACTACTATACATTATATCATAATACATTGCGTTACTGTAATTCACTACCTGTAATTTCAGCATCAGCAGCAACTTCAGGGAGTCCAGAATGGAGAAAAAGCATCAGACCTTAAAACAGACAAATAGATATACAGTACAGCATTTTCAGTCATTTAACATACGGTCTGTCAACTGAAAGGGTTTGTGTGTTTCACAGATTTCACGACACTGAAGATTCATTGTTTAACTTCATCACACACGATAATGTCACAGGGAGGAAGTTGATTCCCTGATTGATTCACTGCTGTTCAGACAACAGAGAAACAGTTTCACTCATAGAGGATCAAACAGGACTGGAAATATGCTCTTGTAATGAGCAGGCTCTGCCAATAGAGGTGATGATCCACATGCAGCTTATTAAAGAATCGTCAGGCAGGCTAAGGTCAAAACAGGAATGGATGGTCAAGACAAGCAAGCAAGGCAACATAAACAAAACACATAAGGCAAGACAAGGAAACCACTTTGAACTGTTCACAGCTAACAATGCTCAGCATGTATGTGTGAAAATGTGTGCATAAATAGTCCAGGTAATGAAATAATGATGGGCTTCAACTGTGAGTGTCTAGATTATTGTCAGCTGTGGCAGGAGTAGATTGGTGCAATGACTTCTGGGATTTGTAGTTTCAGTTCAGGGACAGATGTTTAGTTTGGGTGACAGTGAGTGTTCTTTAGCAATCTGCAAGGGCTGGGTCACTGGTGATCATGACAGTTTTAGACTCTACATTTATTATTATCTTGCTGGAGTTGACATAACAATATTACAGGGACCTATTGATCAGACATGACTAAACATATCCAGCATATGAACTGCTATTAGGTTAAAAAAAAAAAAAAAAAAAAAAAAATGGAACACTTTCCATTGAAAATTTCTTTTTTGCATTCTTGATGAATGTCACTTTCCCCCTTTAATTTTACTTTG